TCGTACTATGGTAAAAAAAATCACGAGGGTAACACAGTGTTGTCTGGGCGACTAGTATCCGTCTGTAAGTGGACCTTCGTAATAGGCACGAACAATAAGAATGCCGGCCTCCACTTGCTGTCTCACAGGTCTCGGCATTTGCAAATTCCGACAATTTACGAAAAAAAGAGTGATAAAATGTATTAGCAGCGAAACAAACAGTTTTCCTATACAAAATAAATTCTCACTGAAAGGAAACGATGGTCGGGCCTCGTAGGAATGAGCGTCATCGCAACGTCTGAAACGACCTTACGATCGGGTAAAGTAGCCGTATGCGGAAAAGCCATCGTCATGGCAGCGACCACGAAGCTCTACGACGTTCTTGGCAAAAAAACAAAGTAACCGTCAATGGAAAAGATGACCGAATAGAGGGAGAGCACCGTTTCGGACGTGCAAAAAATCATTCAGATTAAGATATTGACGAATGGAAACAATAGAGAAGCATTCTAGGAAAAGAAAGAAGTCTGTACGGTAGTTGGACTACGTTCTGTAGCGTGAAGTCAGAATGTCGAAATGGAAAACACAGAACTCGTCACGACGGCAAGCAAGCACTAAAGTCAAGCGTCGTCGAAATGAACTGGAATTCAGCGCGTCACCAACGCACTCAAACGTCAGTGAGCCCAAACAAAAATAGTAGGGGGGGACGGGAAGGGGGTGAGAATCGGTCACAGAAGGGTCTTATCGGGGAAGCGTTGGGCATACGATACCTGGTTAAGCTATAATTAAAAATTACTAAACCGTTTAAATAATTATTAGTTTTAGAGAATCATGTGACTATGTGAGCTAGCATTTATTGAACGCGATTGTTGCCATGGGAGAGAAACAAGTATATCAATGCGCTTGTTTATAACCTCTCTGTTTTCTGGTTTAAATGCCAGCAGTTGCGCTTTTCCATACTGGTCGATCGGTTTAATATACGAAAAACGATCGTAAATAAAAGCATGGCCGGTTCAGATATTTTGACTTCTAGTAGCGGGTGTTCAAGCTTGTCTAACCTGGGATGTTAGGCGACGAATGTTTATTTATTATAAAGGAGTGCATCCCAATGTCATTTTTACGGTCGGGGGGAGGGGTGAAATAAACTAACGGGAGAGGACGGTTGTTACGTAAACGAAAATTTCCTCTTCTTTGTATGAACCAGTGTTTGGGTATTTGGGTATAAGTGTATATATATATATATATATATATTTTTTTTTTTTAATTAAAAAATCTAATCGTTGTGAACTTTCTTGATGTTGTTTAGAGTTTCTGCAACAGACCTATGTTAATCATATGCCATTCATTAACATTAAATATTGGCCCCATGTTTATAGTTACCACGGTGACGTACTCAGAGAGACGAGCATAGGCCATCAACACCACGTTTCCTCTACAGTAATGGGGGCTGATGGGGGTCCAAACCAAACCTTGGGTTATTTTACTTATCGGCAGTCGCATGAGAAGCTCGAATAGATATTAGCAAGTTAATGTGGCGACCAGCAATGGCCCTAAAGTAGGAATTATTCCAGATTCTCGATTCTGTTCAAGCAGTGCGTTACTAGGTTTGTATTCTCAATAGCTTAATGTCTGTTTCGTTAGAACCAACGATATATCTGCCACCGTCTTGCGAAGAGTGGCGCCAGGCACTTCATTAGGTGTATGAAGCTATACAGCATCCTTCCAGCTTAATCTACATATATGGGCAGAATGGTCTATATGTTATGAATAAAGAACATACATAAATTTACTATACACCGTTAGACATTTATCAATATAATCCTTTTGTAATAGGACTTCATCGTATTTGTGACTAGAACCAATAAAAAAAAATAAGATAATTACATTTTCATGTAATGATTCATACCTAAATGAGTAAGCACCTTAAATACTTAACTAAAAATACAAGCTATCAAGAGCAAGGTTCCCCGAGAGAGTTTTGATAAAAGTTAGACACTATTAACTTTGTTGTACAGTGGGGGTTCATGAGAAACTAGGAACGGGTATTGCTTCATCAGTGATTTGATACATCGACGAATCAGACTAAACTACCGAAGTTGTTTTTTTTTCCGAAGAAACAGCTGCACGAACGTAAGCATAGACTCCCTTGAAATATACGAAATTTCAGAACTAGACGCAAAAACTTTTCTACGTAATGGAAAAGAGTGGGCTGGTTGCTAGTAGTAAAGATGCTTTTGTGCAGTGCCTTCTGATTATGGGATGAGCTATTGATTTGATTTAGGTATAAGGAATAATAAACTCAATTTAGATATTTTCAATTTGTTGGCGCTACGCACACTTATCAACATGAAAAATCTATAGATTTTACTACTGCGTTAGGTACACCCCGTTAGACTCTAACATAATCCACACACTTATTCTCACCGTTGTGCCACCTCTATAAACAGAGACAAAACAATTGAGCCACTTTCTTGCATTTATGTTCAGGCTTTACTTTTTCACAGGTGTTATAGATCAGACATTATTACTTAGATAATTGCTGAAAAATGCAGCCATAGCTTGAATTTTATTCGGATTAATCTTAGAGATACTGCTAATCGTACGTTGCTGATAAATGTACAACACGCCTATCTGTATGATGAACGATTGTATATAAAGGTGGCACTGAAAGATCCAGCGTGAGCCACTGATCAAGTCGTCCGAACGTGAGGTTATCCACTTGTTTCTAAACGATTAACCCATCCATGTCGAACACCTTCGAATCAACAGGTTTTCTCTTGTTTACTTTTTGCCTATATCGAAAACAACACCGGAAAGGTTGTAGTGAAAGGCCGAGTGGCACCGTCTTCTACGTTGAATCAGAGCTATAGAATGGTTAAAAACTACGAATAATTGAAATCGGGCGAAGCTCTAATCAACGAAAAATTCGGTACACACTTTAAAAGGACTATAAGATCCTGACGATCTCCTAGTACGTGAAAGTTTTTAGGTTACCGTTCCTGCGTGTTTTTCGTTGTACACGCACTTCGGAACGAGAACTGAAGAGGTGAGGATCCGCCGCTCTGATAGGTACTCGGTGCCATTTGATCCTGTTGCTTTATGAATGAAAACAAATCTGTTGGGTTCGTCTCTGCCATAGCTAAAACTCGCTACAAGTGATTTCAAATAATCTCAGCTTGATGTAGTGCTTTATGAGTAGCTTCAAGCGTGATTGAATTCGCGTGAGCTTTGCATACGGCCAAAGCCTGACAGAGAAGACGCAGGGAGTAAGGTAACGGACGAGCGGAAATTATTTGCCGGTTTCGCATAGCAGAAACATATCGTTACCGTTAAAAGAACATGATCCGCGTTAGGCGCTGAGGCGTCAAACACATTTTAGAGCGAGCAGTCGAAGTATCTACAATCGCGATGATCCAGGTCCTTGATCCATTGTTCTTCATAGAAATTACCGTCTCAGTTGCGTTTCTACTTATTGCGAAACGCCATTTGCGTACATACGAGTACTCCTTTGCTAAATAAGCGCTTACCACGAAGTATGAGGATGACAAAGTTATCATTATCCCGAGCTGTCACTGTGAACTAGCGGGAGTATCAGCAAGGACCTGTTACATTGTGTTACGATACCATGGTTACACTGCACCAGGCCAAGGACCGAGTAACAGATTTCCCAAGCGAAAGGTAAGGATGACTTCGCTTTTAACTTAATTAATATCCATTTATGTTCCTTTTCTCGGCACTAACGTCCTGACTTCAACCTATTATTGTGGCCACTTAAAGTGAAATTCTTTCGTCAATTCCTTTGAAGAATATAGAATCAGCTGACTGTTGGGCCTTCCATACCGCGATCAGTATTACGATGATATATTTGCGCAAGTGACAACTTTGGTATAAGTTTTTTTTTGCGTAGAACACTAATTGACGCATTTATACGGTTGAATTTGGAGGAGAGTGTGTTGTGTTCATGACAAACTGAGACTGAATACATATTTTAAGAGCATATTTATAAAAACGAAAATAAACTAAAGTGGATTTAGGAATAAATAGCTTATTGGCATGCCTAGAGTTGTTGCTACAGGCAGTGGTCCCCACTGTCATACGCTCTACTCGTCGACGGGCTTTTTACAAATTTATATATTCATTAAAATTGCCGTCTTATTAGTAGCGAATCAATCAATCAAGTGACAGAGAATGTCACTAAAGCTCCTTTGTCATACCAATTAGCAGTGGGGGGCGTGTGGTACAAGTCTCTCAGCTTGATTTGCTTAGACGAAGTTCATTGTGTTCCACCAAGACAAACAAAGACTAGATAGTAAATAGCAAAATACATGTTCAAATCTATCTCATGTAACTTACATCCCTAACAAGTAACAAAAAAAAAAAAAAAAAAGGTTTTAAGAAGGAGCGTTTAGGTTTGTTATATTTTATATTGGAATGGTACCTGTTATTTTTGTACCTTGTATTTTAAATGTACCCCCGTTATTTTTGGAAAGATATTTTTTCCTTCCTGCATAAAAACCCGCTCACACTTCAAGCCATAACCTATACTATATATTATTATAATAGTATATAAACACGAATGAGATCTTTCTATGTCTATAACTGTCTTATGCGTCTCTAGTCTAGTATTTGGTGCTTCTTTTTTTTTAGTGTATTGCTTCAACATGCACATCATCATGTAGGATGCGGCGACTTCTTATGTATCTTTGCCGTTACGGTCGCAATGCGCTTCACTTTGTCGCCGGGAGCTAGAAAATGCTAAGAGGCAAAGCCGAAACAGGACGAGATATAGTTGAGGGTCATGTACAAAGTAGACAGTCGGTCCTACCTCCGTTGGGAGCCGCAGCAGGCAGCAGAGTACACAACTCCCACAAGGCAACCCTCCCACGCAGCCCTTTCCCAGTGGGAAATGGTTTTGCGATACTTTATAATATCCGACGACACGGTCGGCGCGTAGACTGAATCCTGGTGGTGAGTATCAAGCTAGGCTGGTCATTACGGTAGGAAAAGGTCTGAAACCAGCGGGCTTGGCACGATGCTGGTGGAAATTTTAATTGAATAAAACGCAAAAAAAACGTTGGTGTTACTATTTTGTAGTGCGGTGCGACTGAATTAGAAAAAATGCGACGACGCCGTTATTCTGTTGTAGCCAAAGTTCCAAACACAGATATCGATTCCGAGACTGAAGACTGAAGTAAGCACTCGCAAGAAAATAATTCAACGCCAGTGAACTTAGAAGTTCTCAAGTAATTGTGGCTGTGCGTAACTAAAATAGTTTTATAGGTTTGGTAGTGGCAACTAGTTTAGATGGAGCTTAATTTGTGATATGTTGACCATGCGATTGCAGAGAACGAAGAAGGCCATCACGTGAGCACCATGTGAGACAACGCGGACTTAAACTTTGTTAACTTAATCAGGCCGCAACTGAAAATGGTGCGCGCTCTTCTGACAAGTTACCATACCTTTTTTTGTCAACTTTAGGTATAAACGCATGGTCTGCTGTCAGTTGTACCATTTTGGATAACTATTGTAGAGAGGAAGTGGTTCTGCGATACCCGTCCAGCTTCAGTGGCACGGGCTAATAAATTCGATGCAATTACCATATAACACCACTCGGGGCATTTCGTTTGTGTATTTAACATCAATCTATTTTTTTTTCCAACCTATATCTAGAGACATATGTGTTGAATAAGCTAAACCCGAAAGATGTAATGAAACTATACGAACTGGCCTACTCAGAATCATGCAGCGAAAATATATTTTATCAACCCGCATTAGCAGCGTACAAATGCTACTACTGACAAATTGATCTTTGAACTTTTGCCTATCGCTCTAAGGCCGTTACTATTTAGTGTCCAACTCAATGAGTTTCTATTTATACGAAAATGTATAAAACTTTACAAGTTCTTTGCTGCCTATACATTGATCAGACTGCATATTCCACCCCGGAAACAAGATTCGCATCCCGCAATAAACCTCGTTCTGTTCATAAGGGCAATTCCCTCGAACAGAAATACTGAACAGTTGAACGGTCAGGACTAGCGTTTTCTAACGAATTTAATTATGTTACAGTGATTTTTTACTATTCATTGCAAAGTGACGTCATCAATTTTACCAGATACTATTTGTATAGGAATGTTTGCGGCTGCTATTTTGTAGCTTTTCGAAAATAATATTAGCTTGTTATTTCGTAACCAACATCAGAAAAGCGTTTTTATCATTCCGTATGACAGTAGGTGGTAATTAGCTAAATGTTTACCATATCGTAGTTGACTCAATTCGAAATTGTGCGGCGTCCGCCTATTAAGCTTATTTTATGGCTCGCTAGTGAAATGTTAGCGTAAGTTCGTTCATTTTGATTACACTATATACGTATCTGCGGCCATTTTGGCTAGCAAGCGGAACCAGACGAATCGTTAAATGCTATTAATATTCGAACGTGATTCGACGACCAATGCTTGCCAATACCCATTACTCCCGATGCAGTGACGCTACTGATTAATCGTTCTAAATTAGCTATAATATGTCCTAATAATACTTGCGCCTAAGCATTATTGTGCCTGCTCAATGCGGGCTACATATTGGCTATGTCATTCATGCAGAACCCATCTGTGAAAAAGCCCAACCTCCGCTAACCGCTGGCCTAAAAAAGAACTTCTTCTCAGTCCGATTTGACAACTTCGTCCTTTTTTTTTTTTTTTTTTTTTTCACTGTCACCTTTGCACATCGATTAAAATCGCATAACTTCGGTTTCCAACCTATGTTCCTCTATCGGCGCTCAGCTGGCTATAAGTTCCTTCTTGTCCTCCCTTCTGTGTGTGTAGTGCCTCTTACTACCTACGTTTCATGCCCTACCTCGCCTAACAACTTCCGAACACCTGCTAAAGTTCTCTATCCAGGATTTAAAGGGAAACCTGATCACGTATTATACGGCTGTCAATGGAAAAAACTGTTTGAAGCTGGCGAACGCACGCCAGTCGACTCATCGTACTGAAGTGCCGTATTATTATGATTCGCTCGTCCTAGAAATTCATTCATGGTAAACGCGTAACTGCAGCCAGATGAGACATCCATACAGTGTTAATGAAACGCACTCCATATTTAATTGGCCTCGCGTAACAGGACTTAGCTTTCCTAGACCCCGCCATATGCTATGCAAAATCCTTAGTTATAGCTGATAAACTGTACGAGGATAGATAAAGATGCAAACATATTTGTTGTGCGTCCCGCAAATTCCTACCGCAAATGTGCCCTAAAAAATATGCCCCTCTCATTTCTCACGTTGAAGCAAAGATCGCATATTGTTAAAATACTAAAAATTTTATAATATTTTTAAATAACAAATGAGTCGAAATTTACTAGTAGTAGTTACATATTATTTACTAGTAGCAGTGTTTAGTAGTAAAAGGATTTGTATGTTTTCTTAAAGATGTCTTTGTATGTTTTTTTTCTCTATATATAAATCAATTGTTTATGCGGTATATTGTACAATGCAATGTTCTGCAAATAATTACTACCAAATAACATATTATTACTATCAATTTGCAACGTTGTGCATCGACGTACCGTATTGCATGTATGACTGATGTTATTTTATATATATATATATATATATATATACGAATCCCTTTTTGTAGTGTAATAACAGTGCGAAATCACGTGAAAAGATACTCCCCACCGGTGTTCGGTCTTCTCGCATTTAAAAACATCCCAAGGTATTCAACCTAAGCACCGCGGACAGCCGCTCGTATAATTGCAATATTTGTTATTACTACTATTAACTGTACACGTATATCTTATTATCATTTCGCTATTTAACATGTAGCTAGGTTTCCTACACTACTCCAACAGGATGTTGTCCATCGATCGATTCAGGCGAAAATAGACCGGTATCTTTGATTCATTTTACGAATGAAGCGCGTATGTTTACAACCACAGGCCAATCAGATCTGAGCTATAGGTGAGCACGCATCGGATGAAACTCCGAATTCTTCATTCAACTTTTTCGGCGTGGCCACATCTGAGATAAAACCAATACCCCTCCCGATCTTGTCCCCCGAAGAAGAAGATCTCGAAAACAACTTCTTGGGGCATATAGTATAGCACAGCTGTTGGATTTTAGTGGTAGACTACTTTGAAGGGCGTGAGTTTTAGGAGGAAAATGGGGTCGGTGGCAATGTGAATCGAGTCAAAGGCCAATTCGCAGTGGCGTAAAGCGATGAAATAGTACCATCGTGATAAACAATTTCGTGTGTGTTGTAAAATGTGGTTATTTTCCCTCATTAAGCACACGAGCGCAACCAGTGTATTCTGTATGATAAGGAATTAATCGAGTTCGTGATTTTACCGCATTTAAGTAGATAAAACATAATATCCTTCTGCTCGAATATTCCATTAGAAAATTAGTTTTCGTACGATGTGTCGTATCGCTTCTATATGTCGGATACTTGTGCGGAACTGTTTAATTTGTCATATTCTTACTCAATTAGTTGTGTTTTCCCTGGATTTCTATTAAGCAAAAAAATCCGAAACAATACTAATTTCTGAAAAGTGCTACTCAGAATGGTTCTCTCGAATAAAACTCATGTCTATAATATGTTTACTACTTTTGAAGACATTTTATGACATGATATTAAGCTGGAGTCTATCGCCGACCTTTCTGTTATTAAATCTACATTTATTCCTCTCAAGGTCTTCTAACCTTCTTTGGAGTCTCTTTGAACGAGCTTGAACGAGGTGGCTTGGACAAAACGGCAATAAGTATTACCAACAAAACCGTCAGAATTATGCAAACCCTTTATGCAGGACACATGGATGCACTGTTTTCGAAACTTGAAGAACGGTCCACAGCGATCGCAGAACCTCGCTACAGGATAATGATGAAATTGATAAAACCGACCCTTTAATCTCCTTTCTATACGAGTTATTGGCGCCCTAGATGGGAAGTAGCCCCGTTGTCTTCCCGATCTTTTCGGAGCCAACCATACTCCCCCAAAAATTGACTCTGATTATCACTGACTTACTGTGTGTAGTAGTTCGTACCGTTTGATCATTTTAAATTCCGTTTTAATGCAGATATACTTCCTATTGTATGTTGACACTTGGAAAATCGACGGAAGTCCCATGTTTGAGACTTAGATTAGGGCGTATCTAGTAGAGCTGATCTGATGTTAGACTGGTGTAGTCGAGTAGGGTGGTATCTTGATTAGGAAAAAAAGGAGACGACCGCTCTGACATGAATGCACTGCCGACAGCGACCAAATAAACCTTACATTATAATGCCTACCAAAGCTATCTCGATGTTAGGGATTCCCTGTAGATTCTCGGTTGAGTAGTATGAGTCTCTCAGCGCAGAGTTCGGTTTTTGCCTACCCTATATATTCAGTCCAGAAGGAAAAGTCCAATACAGAAAACAATGCCCAGAAAGATTAACTAGAAACGAGTAAAGATACCGTTATCATCTCTAGTTTAAAAACAGGTCCCCTTTAGATGTTCAATTTGAGCGCATCAAACCTATTAAGGCAAAAGCGATGCCAAATGATGATCAGCGGTTTGTGTAACTTACAATTCAGTCCGAAGATTAAGTTGATAACGTGTATAAATGATGGCGATAAACAGTAATTCCATCTTAAGAACGCATCAGAAACATACACAGTATTGATTCATGCCAGTATTGATTCTGTGTTTGGCACTTGACAATGCTTTCGGTCTACCCGCACATCGTTTAACAAACACAATATTCTAGTATAGGCTCATAATTAAGTGAGTATTTTAATATATAGTCTCACATACATTACAGCTGATAAAAGTCAACGCTTGTCATTTTTACGGTATGTCGCATAACCACAGTGATACCACATCGTGCTACACGTACATCGTGATACGTTAACGTTCTGTCAAATAGTAATATCGACGACTTGCCCAGTTTCTTTCCGATGAAATTGTTGTTTTTTTTTTTCCAAATTCTGTGCGAGGGTGCCAGCGCGTTCGCTCAGTAGGACTCCGCGTTGCCTTGAACCTGTGTCATGCTCTTTCTCAGTCCCCCTGCTAGCGGTTACAATCGGTTGTCCATTGTCTGCTTTTATAGAGGCACGGTGAACCCGGCCTTCAAGAGGTTTTTGCTCAAGACACAATTCTTCATATATATGAGAAGGTCCAGGAGCCTGAACGTGCACTGTTGTCGGCAAGCCTCGAACTTTCATCTTAAATGATTGTCTCCTTACGTGTGCGCTATTGTGATGAATGAAGTTAGATCTGGGCCACACGGGAGTTAGCCCACGCTGTAGAGTTTATCCCAGAAATTAGACAGGGTGATTTTGTATTCGCTCAAAGTCGCTGGCACTAGTCGTATTTCCAGTGCTCATTCACAGCCTATTTCCCGAAACCATCCGAAGTATTCTGATATGAAATTGATCAGTTTTTCAGAAAAAAAA